CTGGAGGAAAAGAATTATTCAAGAGAAAATGTAAAAATAAACGAAAATAAGGATAAAAAAAATAACACGACGAAAGAGAGGCCGATGAAAGTAGATGCAAAGAAATGAATAATGAAATGATGAAGAAAACGGATAAAATTTAAAAAAAAATTAGTATTTGGATGAAAAGACAATGTAATAATGAAATATAGAACGAAGCTTAAATAATTAAAGAACAACTAAATTAATTAGAGGAAGAAAATTTTACCGGACGATGTTAGACTTAATAAATATTCTAAATTTAGAACAATCTGAAATTTGATTGGTCACAACTATAATTGAGTATGTCATGCTTTTTTGAGATGTCAGAGTTCGAACGGTGCTTGTGAAAAATAAGACATGATTTGAAATATCCATTTTCAGGTCAGGACTTTTCTTCTTTCATACATTCTATCCGTTCTTGACGCTTCACGAATATCTATCTCCTGAAGCATTCAACAAACTTGATTCTATTACCCGCCTTCCCTGTTCCTGATCTGACATCCGTTTACATAGGCTGGTTGTAATACTCGTAATACTTAGCAGATTTCGTTTGCCCATCTTGACGTTGTGTAATACTAGAACACACCTATTCTATTGTAAATAGACTCTCCCAGATATAATAAGTAGTAGTAATAGCAGTCGCCAGAGGGCTCAGTGGAGTTGGTCTGAGTTCAGTCTGAAGTCGGACGACCAGCTGACCGATTGAACTCTCTGCCTTCGGGCGTGGAGGAACCCGAAGGTGGCTACGCCGAAGGGCGGATTCTCTTTCGGGGAGGTAAACCGACCCTGAACCCGTTTATACGGGTCCAATGGGCATATTTTTGGCCGAGCCCACGGGTTCGGAGACACTACGTTAAACCGGCCTTGTGCCACATGACGCCCTCGTGGGGGGGTGACTGAATATCCTCAGTGGAGCTGGTGTGTCAGTCGATGTTGGACATTAAAGTATCAACCACCACAACTAGATTGCTGCGTCATTAACTATTATTTCAAGTTCCTAACGTTTTGTACGTCGAACCTAATTTAGGACCGACTCAGTGAAATACAAGTCTCTAATGTGCAAACTACTCTACAACACGTTGGTATGCCGTCGAATGTTATACTTTCTAAGCGCACTTTCTTCATTATGAGTTCAAGAATGTTTAACATTCACACTCTGATAACAAGCCAAAATGTAGTCTACGTTCGCATTTTCCATAAAACTTCCTCATTGCTCTGTTGGTTTAGACATGATATTCTCGATATTCTGCTATGTAATCGCATCTCTGCTGACTAAAATCTGTGAGCAATGCATTCACTGACATGTATGGCGATTGATATCATATAACTGTTGAGTAAACTAGTCTTTGTTTCAAACAAAATCTTCATGCTTCTTAATATTCTACTTAGTTTTTTAAATTAAATTGTTTATACTATTTACAATAATCGGACTATTGTCCTCATATTTGTCACCATATTTATTACAAGCTTCCGGCCGTTGTACGCTCCGGCCTTCTTCAGAGGGTTGGAATGTCAAATTGAAAACTTCAATTCGCTCACTGGGGTAGACTGTTCTCAGGGACACATGGCACAGTGGATAAAGGCGTTAGTTAGATTCAGTGACAAGACCCAAAGAGTGTGAGTTCAATACCCGGTTAAGGCGGTGGAGAACTTGGAGAGGGGAATTACCAGGAGATAACTGATAACTGACATGACCCGTGGAACTAGAACAGTCTACCCCAGTGAGCGAAATAAAGGGTTCAGCTCGACATTCCAACCACCTGAAGAAAGCCGGAGGGTACAACGGCCGAAACCTTGTAATAAATATGGCGACAAAGATGTGGACAATAGTCCGAATAATGTAAATTATGTACCCTTATACCTCATCTCAGAAATATAGAGAGATACTAAATTTTTTATGCTATTTTCACGTGTCTTCGGATTTGCGCCACTCTTTCCATCCTGTTATAACTCTTCCTAAATATGTGTACTGTGTTAATTTTGACATCACCAATTCTTTGATGGTTCTTATTACTAAAGACCATACAACCAGTCTTCCTGTCGATTAATTGTTTCTTCTTGCTTTCCTTTGCTGCTACGTCTGGAAATGCCTACAGGTTTATTTATACACAGCGTTCGGAAAGTCACTAAGAACTTATATTTTATCAACAGACATGTTTGAATATAGAATACAGAAGGAGAATAGGAATGAAAATAACAATGTTGAATGTGACTCCCGTTTACCACCACTAAAGGCTTGGATTCTTATTTTTGTACGGGAAGAGTTTTTTTTTTCTTTTTTTTTCTGACGGCCTTATGGGCAGTTGCAAAACCAATATCTTCGTAATAATTTTATTGTATTCCTGAATAATGTCCAAAATATTCAGCAATTTCTCCTCCGATAGCCTTGCTGACCTTCCACAAAGTTTGACATCATCCACTGGTCTTGTTTCCCAAATTTTATCAACAAGGTTACGAACTGCATTGCGATATGGAAAGCGTGTATCTGAAAATTTATCAGCAAAATGCTGTGGCACCAAATCTGTGTATCTACCACGTTCTCAAAATACGTATTCGACAAGAAATACACGTTCTACAGTTGTGAAAAATATATTGGGTTGGAATTTTGAAATATAAAACCTGAGATTAGTAAGGTGCGCAGTAAATTTCAGAACACCATATATTTGTCTGTCTGTCTGTCTGTCTCTCTCTCTGTCTCTCTCTCTCTCTCTCTCTCTATATATATATATATATATAAAGACATTTTTATGTTTATACATTCTTTTTTATAGATATAAATATTTAAGTAAATGCTCTGATTATAATAAACAGTATTAACGACATTTACCGGACTGAATGTCCGTGCTTTCCTGATTTCGCCACAGAGTAGCGTTTCGGTTAACATGGTCGATTTTACTGTTTTAAACTCCAATTCTCCATGATTTTCTCTCATACATTCATATCTGCTCGATGCGTATCCAAATGTAAACAAATGACGTCACACATTATGAAATGGACAAAGTCCGACAATTATTTTAAGATATTTTTTTATGTTTATACGCACATCAGGCTATATGACGGTTCCTCCTAGGATACAGGTTCGATTCCTGTCGGAGGACGCATATTTTCTATGACAATTTCTCGGACATTCAGTCTGGTAAATGTTGTTTAATACTGTTTATTATAAACAGAACATTTATTTAAATATTTCTATCAATAAAAAAGAATGTATAAACATAAAAATCTCTTAAAATTATTGTCGGACAGTGTCCATTTCATTGTATATATATATATATATATATATATATATATATATATTATAGTTATTTTGAAAATATGATACCGTCTTTATTAATTCCTCTGTTTTTTATAAGGTTCATGAAATAAAATTAAAAGCAAAAAATACGAAAGAATTTTGGATTATTAACCTAACGGTCCTTTCCTATTTTTCTATATATTTGCACATATTCTATATATTTGCACATATTCTACATATTTGCATATATAGATCGGCTCCCAAATTATGGTCGAGCAGTCTGAACCATTATTTTTAAAATAAGAATTTTAAAAATATGGATAAAGTAAATTTCGGTATTTCTCTGAAAAATATTCCAAACACAAACAAACGGAATTATTTCGTAAAAACTTATGCAAAAAAACAGAGGAATTAATAGAGATGGAATCATATTTTTTAAAAATAATTATAATTTAGGGTCTACTTATGCATTGAGGGTTTTTTTATAATAAAGAAAAATAAAAACAAAATACTAAAGAACTTCGGAGTATTAACCTAACGGTTCTTTTCATTCATATATATATATATATATATATATATATATATATATATAGTCAAACCCTAGAGAGCCAGACAAACCTACCAAGGTTTCACCTAAGCGGATCGTCAGGGAAAGCTGGCTCTGCTTTTGTATCGAGCACTTTTTTAGTTAGTTGTTTACTCGTATTGATTTTTTTTCTTCGGGCTTGAAATGATCCTTGTTTATCGTAATTTAAATAACTGATCCAAGTGCGACTTTTGGATAATAAGTGCGACATTACTGTAATTATTGAACAATATAGTTCATGCCACTCTGACAGAAAATTTACCAGTAAAAAATTCGTTCATCACCATATTTGTATATGAACGCACAACTTTTAAAAATTTAAAATCAAACTCAGCGTTGCTACTGCGCGCTCCAAAAACAATAACTCATTTCCAATAGCATTTTCGGATACAGCAATACATATATTTTCGTTGTCCTCTTATTACTAAGAGAAAAAACAAGAACAACATCTATTCTATACCTGAAAGATGTCTGTAGGAACAGACGAAAACTTGTAGTAAAAATAAGAACTAATACGGCAGAAATTTATAGAAACAAGGATCATTTCATTCATAACGGATTCGGAGGTTTTTGTATATTATTTGAATTGTTTGCGACGATGGATTTCTCGCCAATTATATCATTAACCTTTGCATTTGTTTTTGTGTGAATAATTCATCATGAATATATATATATATATATATATATATATATATATATATATATATATATATATATATATATATATATACATATATATTACGTTCTTCGTAAATGAATGTGCACCTTTGTACAATTAATTGAAGCAACCGCTTTAGTTTCCTTTCTTTCACCATACGATCAGTTTTAGACCCACTTGAGTGACAGAGTGTAATCAATTTCTATTATTTCCTTAGATTAGGTCATTTACCGTGGGGTACAGTAATATGTAACTATTTTCGGTGTGTGTGATGACATTTCTTTGGCCTTGAATAATATTGTGTCATCAGTGATTGCATCAGATTTTTATCACGATCATACACTATTGTTTTTACTGTCGATTTGTTGTCCTACGGCCATTGTCTACGATGGACGTTACTCCAAGAAAGTCTATGGAAATTGTAATGCTGCATGAACATAATGGCAAGCTTTACACCTGAGCAAATCAAAGAAATGTCGACTGGCTCGAAAACTCTCCTG